TTTTTTTTAAAAAAAGAAGACATAATCAGAATGTTGACAATGATTACAAAATGCCATGCCTCATTAACAGTAGTAAAAACACAAATAGAGCTGGGCGTAGTGGCGCATGCCTGTAATCCCAGTGGCTAGGGAGGCTGAGACAGGAGGATCACAAGTTCAAATCCAGCCTCAGCAAAAATCAAGGTAGTAGGCAACTGAGTGAGACCCTTTCTCTAAATAAAATATGAAATAGGGCTGGGGATATGGTTTAGTGGTCAAGTGCCCCTGAGTACAATTCCCGGTAACAAAACAAAACAAAAACCCCACAAATAAATGAAATAAAAACGGCAAAATGTAAACATTAAAACTTGGTGATGGGTATATGGGTATTGAATTATTCTTTCTGTAGTTTTGAAAAATATCCTTATAAAAAGAATAATAATAGTAATCAAATTCCAAAGAGGATCATGGAAAAAACATCTAGGAGAAAGATTCCTTCGACTTGAATTAAAAGATTCCATAGACTTTCAGACATTTGAATGGAAGGGCCTTTGAGCTATCCTCTAGTCTGGTCTATTAGACTTTGTTTTTGATTCTCATGAAAAATGTGCATTTGTGTAAGTCACCAAAAGCCTAGGAAATTTTATATTTTTATTTGTAAAATAAGAAAGCTAGATTAACTGAGCTCAAATATTCTATGATAAACTCATTAAAAGCTAGCTAAGAGACAAGGCATATGTAGGAAGTCTTTTTACCTTCCTCTTAATTTTGCTGTGAAACTAAAACTGCTCTAAAATAATAGATTATATATTTTTAAAGGAGCTAGCTAAGACTATCTTTCAGAAATCATCAAGGTAGGTATAAGATCATAAGAAAGTGAGTACAACTCTCGTTGCCTGGAACTCAGGGTTCTTCTTGATCTGTCCCCAACTGAACTCTTACTGTTTTGTATACACTTTCTATCCTAGTCATTTCATCGGTGCCTAGAATATCTTTCTTTCCATTCCTACCTGGTGAAATCCTATTCCTCTTGTAAGGCCCATCTCAAATATTACCACTTTCGTATTATCTTACTGGATTCCTTAACAAGATTTGACCTCTCTGCTCACTAAATCCCATATTACTTTTTGAATTGTCATGCAGACATTTACTTTTTGTTTTCTTTTTGGCATTTGAGTAATTTTTGAAAAATATGTTTCTTAATACTAGATAGTAAACTTCTGAAGGAAGAAGGATCATACCTTCATAAACGGAAAGTATTAGCACGATGGCATATGAATAGGAGATTCTTGATAAGACTCATTGTATAAAGTAGAAAGAGACTTAGGTAAAATTTGGATTCAGCTGTTGTGCTACTGAACCCTTATTGGCATAAACTAACTCTTTTTCTAAAACTATGACAAGAGAATATGATTATTAATTTTTCTTTTTTAAAAAATATTATATTTTTTAGTTATAGTTGGACACAATACCTTTATTTTATTTATAATTATATGGTACTGAAGATAGAACTCAGGGCCTCACACATGCTAGGCAAATGCTGTACCGCTGAGCTACAACCCCAGCCCTGATTATTAATTTTTCAAAATAACCTTTTATTATTGTTAGGTTTTCCAAAAACACTAAAATCCTGGCAAAAGAAAGTGTCACCCAAGATTTCCATTTATTGGTATTGTGATAGTTTGGCATGTTTCATGCTACCTAGAGGTTAAGATAGGGATTACTGCCTCCACCAAGTTCTCAATTCAAATGTACAAGACACAACAGCAAATGGAAGGCAACGCTCTTAAGTATCTGAACACTGATTTGTTCTCTCCAAAGGATTTTCTGGTAAAACCTCAAGTGGAAGTCATAGCATTCTTGGAGCCTATCTGGGTCTGCTATAGGAAGCAGAGGAGTGAGGAACTTATAGAGCCCTAGGAACCCAGTGGTACATGGTGACTGACTACCAGTAAAATATGGTCCAATGAATATTTAGGGCTCTGAATAGTTACATTGCAGTAACTTCACTTTTAGTTGTATCTATCTATGGATAGTGCAGTGGTGGTGGTGAAGAATGGCATTGGAAAGGGTCAACATTCCTTCAAAATTTGAAAGATTTATTTTAATTTTGTTAACTTAGATAATTTACTTCTAGGTCATTATTTTAGAGGAGACTATGTATGCAATGATAACTTGATAATTTTTTTTTTTCAATGTGGGGGATTGAACCCAGGGCCTCATGCATGCTAAGCAAACACGCTTACCATTGGGCTACGTTGCCAGTCCCATAGCTAAATCTTTTGTGTTTTTTTAATTGCTACTGAAGATGGAACCCAAGGCTTTATGCACACTGGGAAGCACGCTGCCACCAAACTACATCCCCTGGCCTTTTAAAATTTTATGTTGAGACAGGGTCTTGCTAAGTTGCCCAGCTTGCCTTAAACTTGTGATCCTCCTACCTCAGCCTCCTGAGCAGCTGGTTTACAGGGATGCATTACAGCGCCCAGCTCCTGTAGCTAATTCTTATTCTAATTCTCTTTCTTCTGTTGGTATTGGAGATTGAATCAGGGGTGCTCTATCACTGTTATATCCCCAGTTCTTCTTTTAGTTTTTGAGACAGGGTTTCACTAAATTGCTGAGGTTGACCTTGAACTTGTGATCTTCTTGCCTCAGCCTCCTGAATTGCTGCGATTACTGGAGTGCACCACCATGCCCAGCTTTCTTTTATTTTTTTTAATGACCAAATCCCGTCAAGTTTTATTTATTCTCATAGCTAATTTTTGCTTATTCTTTCAATTTTGTTTCATTGAATCTTAATGCAGAATATACCTATACAGTGTCATACTGAAGTGATAATTAGGAAAGTACCCAGATAGTTCCAAATTAGTGTTTTATCTTGTAATGTGTGACTATTCCTTTGAAAACTTTAGAAAAGATATTAGGGTGTGTGTATTTTGTCAAGATTTATACATTACAATTGAATGTATTCTGTTTGTTGAGGCTTCTTTTTTTTTCAGTCTTAAAACATTAATTCAGGGCTTACAAGCTCATACTGTTCAAATGAACAAAAAGGGATATGTTTCTTGACTAGTGAAAACAGAAAATTGGTTTTAAACTGGGTTTTGTTTGATTAGGCTTGATTCTAACAAGCATTCTGTAAGAAGCTTCCACCAAAGATGGTCTCAAGGAACGCAGACACCCCACTACTTTACTAGAAAAATACTTTTGGGCATTTCAGAACTTCTTATGTGAGGAGAAGCAATAATTTTTTTAAAAAATTAGTTGTAGATGGACACAATACCTTTATTTTTATTTTTATGTGGTGACCAGAGGATCGAATCCAGTGCCTTCCACATGTGAGGCAAGGACTCTACAACTGAGCTACAACCCCAGCGCAAGAAGCAATAATTTTATAATAGTAAATGAACAAAGTGTTCATAAATATGTTACACATATTAACATTTATTTCCCTAGTAGCATCAACATCCTGCTACTACTTAGGTTACCACCCTTCTTTCCTTCACTCAAATATAAATAAGAGGCCAGGTGGGATCAGGATTCTGCTAGATACTAAAAATATAATGAACCACAGAGCACAACTCCTGCTTTGTAGAGTTTACAACCCAACTCAGCCATCATAAGTGTTCTGACGGAAAAGTGGAGTGCAATGGGAACTAAAGATCAATTACCCAGGTTGTGGCTTGCTCTGATTTCTTGATTTTTCTTTCATTTCAGAATCGAAGAAAGAGAGGATACAAGCTATACTAAATAAATGGTGGTATGCAGGTATAAAATATCTTCAAAGAAGAGCGTTATTCAATCAAATATTCAAGTTTCTCTCACTCCCCTTCCCTGGAAGATTTGCTTGTGTGTCTACCAGTGGTGTTCATGATGACCCCTCACTCCTCAGTTCCAGAAGAAGAGAGTAGGGATTGTGAGCTTCTTCTGTAGAATGGAAAATAAGAGGAATGAGCAGGGAAAGAAAGCCATGTCTTTGTGAGGAGCAGAGTTCAGGGTCTAATTCCTGTTACCTTATCAGCCTCCAAGTGTACCTGCAACAAGAGCAGATAACATCAAAGGAGTCCCGAGCTGGGGAACCGAGAGCCTGGGTTACTTTACACTGACCTGGAAAGCGCCAGGATAAATTACGAAAGACAGGCAGGGGGCTGGCAACTGTAGCCCCCTTTAGAAGTCTCAATGCAGTATGGATATTGAATTGTTTCCTCCCCTCGCCGTTTAGTTGCTAATTAAGGGGTGCCTTGTGAGCGCGGGTGAGAGATGGCGGAACGATTCAAGGACTAGTGTCTTAAAAATGATATAGTCATCTGCACATGTCACAGTTTAAAAGACGATGGCTCAGACCGTTGTGGGAAATGATCTCAGAGCGCTGTTCACCTTCCCCAAAGCTGCATTTTTTTTTTTTTTTTTAATTATGGTGAGTAACATCCCCTTCGGAGGACAGACTGCCTCCCTGAGGCTTGCCCTCTTCCCTGCCGGCGGCTAACGGGAGGGGTGTGTGTGGGGTCGCCCCAGTACCGCAGCCGGGGCTGGCGGGCACGATTCCTGCCCGCGCCGGGCGCTCCCTCAGAGCCCGCTGGGCGCGCGCGCCCGGCTGAGGCACGTCGCCGCCCCTCGCGAGCGCGCCTCCTCCCCGTGCTTGGTCTCCAGCGCCCCCGCCCGCCCCGCGCTCCCACAGCCTGAGCGCTGCTCAGCTGACCCTCGGGCGCCAGACGCGGTGGCTCCCGGCTCGCGAGCGCAGCTGCGGCGGCGCGAGCCTCTCACGCCGACACTCCCCCTGCGCGCCCCTCCCCCAGCGGGGCCAGGATCCGGACGGGCCGCGCGCGAGCCCGAGGCCGCTTTTCCCGGCGCCGAGGCTGCGGTGGCGAGCGGCGGCTGCGCGGCCATGGGCGCGCCGGGGTCGCCCTAGGACCGGCGCGGAGACCGCAGCGGGAGCGACAGCGGCAGCCTCCACTGCGAGCCTTCCTCAGTGAGCCTTCCTCAGCGGCGGCGACGACAGCCGCACGAACAGCGGGGCCGGGATGAGCGGGAGCGGAGCGGCTCCCGGCCCGGGCTCGGGCTCGGGCTCGGGCTCCGGCTCCTCCTCGGCAGCCTGCCGCTTCGCGCACTACTTCGTGCTGTGCGGAATCGACGCAGACAGCGGGCTGGAACCCGACGAGCTGGCGGGTAAGGCCGGGCTGCGGCGGCGCGGGGGTCCCCTCAGGGGTGCGGGGAAGGCTGCGGCGACGCGCGGGAGGCGGGGTGCAGGATCCAGACAAAGTCGGCTCCCGGAGGCGCCCCTCGCCGCTGTCGCCGCCGCTCTCCGGCCAGACGGGCGGTCGAGTGGCGATTTAATGACATTGTTATTTATTCCGCGCGCAGGGTGAATGTTGAGTCCTCGGACGACTCGCCGCCTAGGGCGCCCGCCGGGGGCTTTCGCCTCCGGAGTGTGGGGTTATTAATAACCGGCGCGGAGGAGGCCCCGAGGGCACGGCCCCCGCCCGGCACGTCGGCCGCTCGGCTAGCTGCGGCTAGCGGAGGCGGCTCCTGACAGGCGCGCTGGCTCCCCGACCTCGCGGCTGTCCCCTGTTTCCCTCTCCCGCCCTCTCCGCAGGGGCTGCGAAGTTTGGCCCCAGCGCGTGACGTAGCGCCCATCCTCCTAGAGGAGGGGGTGTGGGAGACCTCTCGGCTGAGGGCTGTATTTGTGCCCACCCAGGCGGTGGTGGCCGTGCGGGGCTGGCGGAGGCGCGGGCAGGAGGCTAGTTAGACTTCATCCGTGACTGTTCTCAGTCTGCGCCCCGCCTTCCGCCACCCCGGGTTCTGCGATGACGGTCGAATCACCTTTTGGAATGCTGTCGATTTGGCAGTGTCAGGGAACCTGGAGGGGACCTTTGGACGCTCGGGACTCTGCACGATGCTTTGTTGACACTGCCTACGCTGTTCCTGAGTTGGAGTAGTTGGCTATTACCCCATCCAACTGGGTGCACCGTGTGTTACTGCCTGGGTTTTCCTGGAGGGGCACTGGTTCCTCCTCTTGACTCATTTGATGGCGCAGTGCAGGGCTGAGCTGGAGAACCTACCCCGGGAAAAGGGGCTGTTAAAGGATGACGGGGTACGGGGGTTGTGCGCCCTGTGAGAAGAGGCGAGGAGAAGGGACTGATTACATCTTTCATCCTGTTTCTTTCTGCTTGCCTCGGTGGGATCTGAATCTTGACTTTTTTTTGTGTGTGGGGGGGGTTAAATGGGTGAGACAAGTGACATCTACTGCCTGAACTTTATCTGTGTCAGTGCTAAACACTTAGGTCATAGCCTTTTAGAACAGTTTCCTTTGGACATAGCATTCATTAATGATTGCACCAATGTGGATTTTTCGTTTTTGGGGGGTAGGAAACTGGAAAACTGGAAAGGATGTATTAAATAATAATAGTAAACAAAACTGTTCAGCCTTATCCATCAATTCATGTCTTAGCTATGTCTGTTAAGTCAGCCTTACAGCAAAACATTTTCAACAAAACTAAGTCTAGTTTTAGTTAAATTTTTGAATAGAGTACTAGAGTTGTGTGTGTGTGTGTGTGTGTGTGTTTTGGTATGTATAGTTACGTAATCATATTTTTTCATCCTCCTCCTCCTCCACGTTCTCCACTATCCAAGGGTGCTTTACTACTAAATGACATCCCCAGCCCTTTTTTTAATTATTATTTTTTAAAATTTTGAGTCAGGTCTCATAAAGTTGCTTAGGGCCTGGATAAATTGCTGGGACTGGCCTCCAACTTGTGATCTCCTGGTTTTAGCTTCCTGAGTTTCTGGATTATAGGTGTGTACCAGGGGCGGGTCTAATCATTGTTTTTTTTTTTTTTTTTTTTGCTAAAATTTTATGTATATGCTTAGAGTGGCTTTGTTAAGGGATGTGAAGTTATAAAACAATGTCTATAGAGAGATTTGGAGAAATTCCTCTTTTGGGGATTGATGCAGGGATTATCTTATTTTTCTAGGATCTGCTCTTTAAATATTCTAAACATTTGTGGTAACAGGGTCATTTGAAGGCCTTCTGTGGGGTGGTGACTGATTAAAGAAAAAAAGCCTGTATTTTTCCTTCTTTATTTGCCCTGTTAACACTAAAACAAAACCTTTTAAGTGTGACCCAGGACTCTTTAGTCACAGTGCAAATGGGTCTAACAAAACTAAACATTCAATTTTAATGCCTTTAAAATTTATTTATTTATTTATTTATTTTAGTTGTTGATAGACCTTTATTTTATTTATATATTTATATGTGGTGCTGAGAATCGAACCCAGTGCCTCATACATGCTGAGCCCCAGCCCCAGCCCTGCATTTAAGAACTGTTCAGAAGGCTGAGGCAGGAAGATCACAAATTCAGAGCCAGCCTCAGCAACTTAATGAGGCTCTTAGTAATTTAGCCAGATCCTGTCTCAAAATAAAAAGAGGTGGGGATGTAGTTCAGTGGTTAAGCATTCCTGGGTTCAATTCCTGGTACCAAACAAATAAAAAAGTATTTTTCTTTTCTCTTTCTTTACAAACAAGAAGAGAAAGGAGGAAGAGCAATGTCTGAGGAAGAAATGGCTACAATGCTTTTAGCACTGACAAAACAGGATTTTAATATATTTATAAGACACAAACTTTGGTTTCTCCTTTTGCAGTATTGCATGTGTGATTGGGATTTCTGCTTCTCATGATACTTGGTATATTCGGGTAATTTTGCCTGGCAAGATTGTAGTATAATTTATTGATTCACCAAATAGATTTTAAAGCCTCTGTATGTAGACTGTTCTAGGTACTGAACTGCTGTAGACAAAGTCAAAATCCCCTGTCCTAGTGGAGCTTACATTCTAGTGTAAGCAAATAATGAAGATAGTTTGTCAGATGCTAATAAATACTATGAGGAAAAATTAAGCAGAGAAATGGAATTAAATGAATGTCAACAGAATGGTGGGATGGTGGGGTTGTAGTTTTATTTTATTTTATTTAGGTGCTAGAGATTAAACCGAGAGCTTCACACATGCTAAGTATGTGCTCTACCACTGAGCTACAGCCAACTGCCCTGTGAAGGCCTTGCTAAGAAGGTGACATGTGAAGAGTCTTGAAGGAGGTGAGGAAGCAAGTCATATGCATTGCCTAGGGGAATAGCTTTGCAGGTGGAGAAAACAGCAAGCGCTGAGATGGATCAGTGCCTAGTTTGTGCCGGTCACAGCAAGGAGGTCAACCTAGCTAGATCTCAGGGAGAGGGAGAGGGTAGGTGAGATTGTGTAGGTCCTTAAAGACAATTGTTAGGCTTTTACTTTAAAAAGGGACTGCCACTGGCAGTGTTTCAGCAGAGTAATGATAAGATCTGATACACCTAGAAAGGATCCCTGTGACTGCCATGTTGAATTGACTATGTCACGGGTAAGAGTAGAAGCAGAAAACATGTTAAGAGACTCACTATTTGAGGTGAGAGATGTTTGTGGTTTGGTGAAATGGGGGAATTAGAGTCTAGATATATATTAACGATAGAGCCAACGGAATTTCCCTACGAATTCTATGACTATATGTGAATTCTATTAATATGGTAATTATAGTCAAAGAATGTGGTCAAAGTTGACTCCCAAGATTTTTGGCCTGAACAATTTATGAGCTTCTATACTGAAATAAGAAAACTAATGGAGAAGCAGACTAGTTCAGTTTTAGACATGTTTAACTTTGAAGTGCCTATTAGATTTTTAATGGAAATGACACATTGTAGATGTCAATTTAGAGCCATGAAATTTGATCTAATCACTTAGGACGTGGTGAGTATAGATAGAAAAAAGGCTCAAATTCTGGGGTCTAGGGCACTCTAGCATACATAGGATGAAGAGGAAACAAGGAGATTAAGGAGTGTGGACAGTGAGCTAGGAAGAAAACAGGTAGTTGTAGTATAATGGTCTCAACTAACAAATTTTCTTTACTTTCCATAGAGCCGCATTTGGAGATTAGAAAGTGTGTGTTTGTGTGTATTTGTTTTTGTTGCTATTACAAAATGCCTGAGGCTGGGTATATTAGAAAGAAATGAGATTTATTTAGCTCACAGTTTTGGATGTTGAAAGTCCAAGATCACTATGGCTCTATCTGTACAGCTTCTGATAAGGGCCTCATGGAGGATGGTGTCACAATGGTAGGAGTGCTTACAAAAGAGACCACATGGTGAGACAAGAAGCTAGAGAGGTTCTGGGGTCAGGCTTGCTCCTTTTATGACCTCTTACTCTCTTAGTAAGTAACCTAACTAACCGGGGTCTCCAAAGAACTGTATTAATCCCTTTCAAGGGCAGTGCCCCCAGTGACCTTTGTTAGGCCCCACCTCTTAATGATTCTACCACTTCTCAACTTTGCTGCACTAAAAACCAAGCTTCCAGCATGTTATCCTTTGGGGGACACACTCAAACCATATCCAAACCGTAGCACTGAGCTGGACAAATTAGTCAGAAGGTTGTTTCTGTTTTGTTGCATTAATTTCAGAGTTAATGATAGTTTGGTTTCTATTTTGCTTTTTGAAACTGATCTATTTTTTTTTTTTTAATATTTTTATTTTATTTTTTAGGTGTAGATGGACACAACACAACGCCTTTATTTTTATGTGGTGCTGAGGATCGAACCCGGGTCCCGCCTGTGCTGGGCGAGCGCTCTACCCCTGAGCCACAATCCCAGCCCTGGAACTGATCTATTTTTAACCCACTATTTCTCAGCAAGTAGTTACCCTGCCTGTATAGGTCTTAATTGACTTCTGTTAAACATAAATTCTACTGATTGCTCTGTAGACTTTATTTCTTAACATATACATGTTCCTAGAATTCATCCTCTGCAGATGATAGATATTGAAATAAATTAAGTACACATCTCATATGATGAAGTAGCAATTAAACTTATGATAAAAGTTATCAAAATGATCACTTCTTTTAAGACACTCTGTCAAATATCACCTAGCTTTAACAATCACGGAAAAAACTTGTTAAGCCAGGTACAGTGGCTCATGTTTGTAATCCCAACTGCTTAAGGGTCACAAGTTTGAGGTCAGCCTTGGTAGTAGCTATACTTTGTCTCAAAAATAAGAAGAGCTGGGGATCTAGCTCAGTAGTAGATTACCCCTGGGTTCACTCCCCAGTACTACCCCCTACAAAAAAAAAAAAAAAATTAAGAAGGTTTTTATTTTGTC